TCTTACTTTGTACAGATCGAGCGTTGATTAACATAAGTGTCAGGTACGGTGACTGTTTGTCTAGTAGAAGGGTATGATGTAAACCGAGTGGTTTGTCTGTTTTGCCATGAGAAAAGGAAGAATTGGGAGCGTTGACTCCATATTGATGAGTGTTTAGTTTATTACCAGTAGGGTTAATGCAAGAAGGGTAGTCGGGTGTGGTTTTGGTGAAAGAAGTATGTCTAAGAGTGGAAGGTAGAGTCGAATGATTAGGTAATGTGTCCGGGGAATGATCAGGGGGTTCAGTCAAGGAGTTTTCAAGACTAGAGACAGTTATCGAAGTTGAGTAGGATGTGCTACTCCCCATTAAATCGGAGTATATAGATGGTTTCAGAATAGTGGGATTGTCGCCCTCAACATTTGGAGACCCCATAGCAGTAATGTTGAGGGGGAGAGAGATAAAAAAGGATGAGATAGTGTGCATGTCGAATTAGGGGGGACTAAACCGTTGTATTGGGTGGCTTGACTTAGATAGTACCTAGAATCTGTAGGTGGGTTCCCAAGTAGGCCAGCGTTATGGCTTCCTCGTGTGCGGTGGGCAATTTTAGTCCTATTGTGGTTAGTTGGGGAGGTTGTATGTTTCTGGTAAGGGATGAAGGAATGCCTGTTATTGTTGCCAGGAGAGGTGTTTCTGTTGTGTATAGTTTTGTGTTGGTTCATGGGGCTTACAAGGTTGACACCATATGACTTATGGGTATCACGTGTGGGTGTGGTTCTTGTCGAGTGTCGTTTCACATTAGGATGAGTGGGTGTTGCCAGTTCACTATGTTTGTTGTAGGGCATTCTATTACTATGAGAAGGTGCATGTTTTGGGTTAGGGGTGCTGGAGTATTGGTGGGTTTTTACGGAGAGTTTGGTATTATTTCGCACAGCGGTGTCTGCGGGTCTGTAGCTGTTAGCGCGATCCCTGGGAGGATCATTTTTAGGCATTTTATAAGGGCCGCTAGGGTAATACTTGGACGCTATTGAGGCATAAGTGGTTTGGCATTTTGGGGTAGCTGAGTGTCTGGGCTGAGGGTGAGTGGTTGTAGCTGCTTTATGTGCGGTCTTGTCCTTAGGACTAATAGCAGTGTCCGACGTGCCTCCGTTTTTTGGGGGGGCAGTGTATGATATTTTAGGGTTTGTGCAGTGACAAGAGCTGTAGCTGCCACGGCTACGTAAGCTGGGTTGATCAGTTTGTGTTCCATTGCAGATTCGACGCTGGATAGCGGTCCTGTCATGAATGATCCTAATCTTTTTAAATGTTGGAATACGCCTCAGTAATGACTGACTATTGAGGAGGTGATTAGCTTCAGTGGTGCTACCAAACTGAAATAGAATGGGACAGGAGGCTTTAGTGTGTGCCTTACGTAATCTTCTTGTTACACACCAAGATTGCGACAATCCACATTCTTGTAGCAGAGTATTTTTAGCAATCTTTATGTTCGTACTATCAGGTATATTATACACAATAACATTCTGCATACACTGAAGTCTTTTCAACACTTCAGATGATATATGGTCAATTACTTTTTCAGTGTTTTTTATAATTTCCAGATCGGGATTTTCTGGAACACTGATTAAATATTTGTAAGGTAATAGGTCTTGAATAGTTTGGGTGAGGCTAAGTTCTGTTTGGCTGCTTTTAGGTCTACCAGTGGTGAGATTATCGGAGTTTATATCAAAGTTTCTAAGGTCGATATGGTTACATACAGGCCTGTTGCAGGTGTCTAGCGGATGTTCACTTTGTGCACACTTAGTTGGGGGATGGGGTATATGTCTGGGTGAGTAGTCAAGATCTACATCACCGGGCTGGCTATTGTAGGCAGGCTTACATGTACTCCGTGGGCCGCTACTCAGGATGGCCGATTGTGAGATTGCTGGGTGTTTGGGATCAACAGCACTGTCTAAATACTGCTCACAACATGTGGTGTTTTTGTTTGGACTGACAAATGATGTCGACTCTAACGGTATGTGACTGCTCTTATTTATATCGACAAGCGAGATGCAAGGTAGTGATATGTCTTGTCCAAGTAAACGGTGCACGTTTAGTGTGGCTGAGGGAAGATCAGAGTAGGATGCAGACTGATCAGTGTGTTTATAAGGTTTCACATTATTCGCTTTAGTGACTGATTTAGATCTTTTGCAGGTGCTATAGGCATCAGGAGAGATTATATGTTTTTTAGATGGCCTGGACATTATCGGAAGTAATGTAAATACAAAGTTTAATTAGGTGGACGGCGATAGTTGTAATTTAACTTAGTGAACGTGTGAAGTTTTATGGTAGGATCAGACCCAGTATTAGTTAAGAGTAAATATATTAACGTTAATTGGTGATAGAGATAGCGTGAGAATTAGCAAGATTAATTTATGACGTTGAGTTCCTAAATAAGGTGTCAAATTGATAGAACCCTATCAGTGACGAATTATTTATCGCTATTAAGTGTTAAATTAAAGAGAAAAACTAATAGGAAAATAAAATAATACCACGTGAAAAACAGTTACAACCTTCAAAAGCGCGCCAGAAATTATAGTTCTCCATAGATCAAAAAATGAAGAAGGGCAGTAGTATGGTACTTTATGAAGATAATATTACGACTTCGCCGGTTGTAACCGACCAGAATGAGACTCAGGTATTCAAGACTAAATTTATTGGCCTGTTAGGTAGTGCTGAACCTTTCCATCCATACTTTGAATATCGTGGCCGTTAAAGAACTCGATATCTTTTATCTCCCAGGTAAACGCGATGTAAGAAAACTTATGGGACCCGATGAAGTGTATCTTAGACTACCAGAGGAACTCTCACGCTTTATCGCAACTTTCTCGAGTTGGGGATATACTAGAACATAAAGTTAGAGTATACTACGAAACCGTTTACCAACCGCAATAAGTTCAGTCTTCATGCAGGTATGAGGGATAAATCTGGGAAAAAATATCCTGTGAGATTAACTAGCGTGAATATCTGGACTCCGGGAAATATTATTTGCAAAACGTTATTCAGGTGTCTAGATAAAGTTCCAGTTTTCTTTATTTAGCAACACAGTTTTGAGCTTGACATCAATTTTTCATGAACTTGTTAATAGCGCATAATGTTGACGAACTCTGCAAGACCGATAGCTATCTACAGACAGTTCGTTTATCGACTCCAGTAAGGTCATTGTCAGAGTTGTGGTTACGGGTAGTTCAGGTATGTGAATAAACATTTTCTTAATTGAGCACCGACAGATAGTACGAGTTGTCTCCGAGTTGATCAGCTTAGTAGGGTATCTCAAAACACAGCTTAGAGACTGGTAATGTTCCCTTTGTGTGTGAATGACTTGTAGATAAATCGTAAAAACGAATAGCTGTCTAAGCAGTCCACATTGATAATGACCTCATTAATTTTGATGGCGCATTCCCACCAGATCGTACCTTGATCCATATGTACTGTCGAATGTCGTCATTCTCACTTTCTGATTTACGTGTTTTGTAATAGTTACTTCAAGGGAAGTTTTAGTCAGCGAAGTTGGCACGTTCTGAGCATTTGCAACACTTTCTGAACTTCCCAGTTTGCGATTATCGTTTGTCTTTGTGTATGGCAATAATATAAAAATATGGGAGAAGATAAATAGTAACGGACGTAATTTAAAGTCAAAAAATTGTCTACGAGGATTATGTGAGCAGTACGCAGTTTGGTAGAATCCTAATAATATCTTCAAATGCATTTTAATGAGCGATGGTCACCAATTTACAGATACATACGTGTTAAATAATGTTGAGCTAACAGTTGTTCAAGTACATAATGGTCAAGGAGTCGTCATCGAGATTTGAAAACCACTTCAAAATGCTGCGCGATACCCGACAAAATCCTTTTGAACCTTATGTTCAAAACGTAGAGCTTTCAGCGACGTGAATGTTATATATCTTTTTGGGTTTATAGGCAGTGATCGTCTGACCAAAAATTCTGTATTGCATACAAGCAGTCAACCCACTGACTAGAAACTTCGCAAACCACTGGAAAACTGTGATGTTTTGTATGCAACAATGATTCGTTGGTACTCAATGTGTGTCCGGTTTTGAATTTCAAATACAATACGTTCGTTCGTGCTCATTTAGTTCTTCCTGATTGAAATTAAGTTATTTCGAGAATTCCTAGTTCGCATAATAATTCAAATACTTCTAATTGTCACATAAACATTCAAAAACGGCAAACAGATCAGTTACCGGAATCAAAAAGATGCCATATAATAAGTTGTTTGATAAACTGAACCTACACTCCATGCTATGTAGAAAGGTTGAAGGTGATATAGTGTAATACTAACTTAGCAAGTGACATCCACATCTCTATCGTCTTCGGAAAGGGGGGATTTACGGGATGTTTTTAAATAATTCGCGAACCAAGTAGCAATCACTTGTCAACCAATCATTCTGACTGCCAACTTTTTATCGAATCGTCGACCAAATATATTATTAATGAACCCATTGAAAAAACTTATTCAAGATGCAGCAATACGCAAAGCTAATGATAATGTACCAAAATTATTATTAACTCTATGAACTGAAGTGACTATCTGTGAATGAAAAATCGGGAATCACAAAACGTGATATCATGAATAACTAAGACGATAACAACTGTTATGTAATGAATGTTAATTGAAAGCACCCTCTCGGGTAACCACTGTTGGCGGAGTTCATTCGATTAACAAATGCCCAACCTCCACTTGATTATTATCCGTTCACAATCGATGTAGACAAATAGTGGATATTGGATGAGTGTGGTTATATATAAAGTGTCACAAATAAAGAGAAAATATGGTGTTGATCTTCGTTGTTAAGAAGACCGTTAAATAAACAAGTCATTATATACCTTTTACCTTGATATGTACTCAAAACCCCATATACTGACACATTTTTAAGGTGAAATACAATCAAATAATAGACGACTGGCCACCCAGTTCATTTCTTCTATAAGCTGAAATTGAACAATGAGATATTAAAATATTACTTGTGCGTAATTTGTACCATTCGCTACTATGGGAGGCAGTGGTGATCATGGTCATGATGGCCATGATGATGTTACTAGGGAAGAGCTCTTCAAAGAGTTCAAACCAAGCATTAAGTACCGATTTACTAGTATCGTTGGGTCAATAATTGACAAACCTGTCTCTCTTTTTCGCGGTAAAAACTAAATTACTGAAGATATTTCTGTAGAACAAGTTGTTAACAGAGTTCGCACTCCATACCCATATTATCATAAGCGGTACGACCGTGTTCCAACGATTGACCAGTGTTTAACTAATGACTTGGCTTGCATCGAGGAGGCCAATCAGCAATTTCATAGGGACCGGTAAGCCTGTATCCTTGGTAATTTTGTCCGATTGGATTTCGAATATTTCTGTTTCTTGTATTAACTCATTAGACAAGTATGTATTTATTGGTTAACTTGTTTGCCGAAAGTTGGGGTCTAGTCTGTAGTTTTTGTCTGAACTTCAATGAGACAGGTTCATCATATTCTGTTCACAGTAGGTTTTTGCAATCGGTATATAAATCAGGAATTACTTCAGTATAATGAAAGTGTATGCTAATGGGAACACAAATTTTCACTATTGTTCACCATAGGCCAGACTATCATATGATCTATCTATCTCGACTGACAGACGAAGACAAACTTAATTGATTCAGATGATAGGCGAAAACAGTTAAATATCACGGCCATCACGCCCGGTTAACCATTATGATAAGTGGAAAGTTTCAAAAGTGTACTTGTTGCACCGTTATAAGGGGAATATATATCACAGTTTGTGTTTCATAGCAAACTGTCCCATTTAGTAAAATATCTTTTATTATTTAGTAGACTATCTATTTTTTATTTAAATTCAATCAACCAAGTCAACCTCAGTATTGAGCAAACCAAACTGCTAGTACCTTTCGTTGGTAGCCCAAGTGTTTACCTTCGTATGTAAGAATTTTTGTGGGTTCGATAGCCATATCAATTAAGATAAATTTTCAACAATTCTCAGATTTTTTAAATAGATTCGATTTCTCTCAACAGTGTTTTTAAGTACTCAATGTTTCACACTGAAAATTTCTCTTATTCAAAGCTCAAAGTTCGGTCCTATTAAAAGGGTTGGGGATGTGCATTGCCCTGGTGTTCCATGTAGTTTTGGATCATAACAAAGCCATTTCTAGGTGTATTTCCTGTACGTTTTTTTTGGTTTCAGACCTTTTGTCGACGGTCATTTTATTACCTTTATAAAGGAACATTCTAAATATTTGTTTAGGTTAGTGGATCTCAATATAGTTCGTATTCTGCGAAAACGCAAAAATGAATGTATGCGCTGGTACAGTTATCAAAAAGAAGATGTTTATCAATTTTGTGGTCCTATGTTCACTGAATATGAAGATGCAGCCGTCAACTACTACATTAAATGTATGTTTTCATGTGTATTTGATCCCTTAATAATAGATTGCTCGTTGAAACAAACATGGGTTTAAATAATTTAAAATTGAGTCCCCACTCCAGTTAAGCGCAGTTCGTACTTTAATTTACGACTGTTGCTAAGTGTATGACCAATTTGTGTTGATTTTCATTCACTTAAGAATTGTAAGTCAATATAACGAGTTAGTAAATTCAGTCTTTTAATCAATTATTGTTTACAGTGCAACCATTCCAAATCACTAATTGATCGGTGCTGTACTCATTATTTTAAAAATCGAATTGTCATATAGTCTACAACACTTGTCTTCCTAAATTGCAAACAACCAGTCGATAATCGTAGATGTTACGTGATATGACTTAACATCAGTTCTAGTGATGCAGACGCACTTTTTTACACTTATCTAGATTCTAAGTTTTAGTGTTATTCCATTCTTTATATTCCAATCGATACTCAATCTATACTAAAGACTAAACGCAACCGAAATACCGTGTGTAACCAGCTACGTTTTACAGTCTACGGACATCTTTATTATATATAATTCCTAGGACAGTGATAACTGGCGTCCTACTAGTGGTAATCTACGAATTAGTGCAGTCACCAACCCTGTCCGTTACCTCCCACCACACATCCACGATTTGAAAAGTATGACCATCTTTTAAAAGATACACCTGATTAAAGAATATAACTAAATCCACATTTCTGCGGCCGATATTTTAAAGACTAGTCATCACTCCCTTCGGACTATGAATTTTTGTGTATGCCTTTCAGTTTATGGTAACTCCAACCAATGTACATATGTGCTAGGTTCTATATTTTAAATGACTGACTAGGTTTAAGAAATGCTTCCCAGGCTTTTCAGAGATTCGTCGATGACGTACTCTTCAGTATAATAAAGAGGACTAAATGCATAAGTTATTCAGAGGTCTTGACTTCGTGCATGCATACCTTGATTACTGTCTTATCGCAATCCCAGAGAATCTCTGTAACGACCAGACTTTAAATATTTTGTCTGGATGGAAGGAACTGAGGTTTATTCGATTATATTAATTTACGCCCTTCTGTTTAGTTTACGAAGCTTCTTTGAGTCTCTCAACCAAAGATTTTATCAAAACACATTTTGTACGTAACTTAATAACTCTCAGTCTTTTCATCACAATACATTTACTTATTCTTTTTATAAGATGGAGAATTACACTGGTCAACAAGTGTTGTTGATGCTTTTATGAAACAGAAACATCGTTTACTATGGGAAAAACGTTACGGCCCAGTTGGTAAAACCTCTGATGAGAAAAAGAAACTAGCTGAAGCTGGTGATAAAGCAACTAAAGAGGGAAATTTCATTTCGAAAATACGAGAAATTGGGTTTAGTAGAGATATACCGAAAGAAATTCATCTGTAGTTTACTGGTAAGCAACCCAATGCATATATATGAACACAACCTTTAATATCATTGTTAATGTAATGAAAATATTGAACTACTATTCGATAGTAATGATAAAGTTGGTTTTTGTCAAGGAATTCAATGGAGAACCATTAAAAAACTGCGGTCACCAGACAGTTGTAAGTGGACGTTTACAACCCCACCGGAGACTGAGTCCAGGACCTTCCGTCTTTGTGGTAATCCTGTTACTCATTAGACTGCTAGGTTTGAATTCAGTGGCCCACATTCCCGAATTCAACCGATCCCTGACATAATTCTGACCCTTTTTACATGTCTACAACATAAAAGTGTATTCTTTGTTATCCACACAATGCTGATTTAAATCGAACAAATCTTTTGAGGATCAAATTACTTTTCGATGTACCTCTACTTTTGTTATATGAAGCATACGTTGGCGTTATACATACTCCCAAGTTGTGGTTCTCATTGATAAATCAATGTTTTCCTGTTGTGTTTTAAAGCACTTGTGATTGGACAGCCGACTTTCGATTGTAGCGTTTTAGATTCAAATCTCGCCTTATTTTCAGTTTGTTGTTGTTGCTGGTACTCATAAAAATACAGGTTATTCAAACCTAAGTACACAAACCTGTTTGTTTTAGTTATGTGTTAACAGTTATTTTTCTCTGCATTTAGAATTCGTATCTTAAGTGTAAAAAATAAAAGATGTAGTAGGACCTCAGTGTATAATCTTGTAAAATACCCATCTCTATGCCTCTTTCACTTGGAGGGGCAGGGATTTGTGTTTAGGGCATTCGACTCTCAGCCACCAAGTCCCTGATCCGAACACTATTCTGTCTACTTCAGTTTAGATAACCGGAAATATCAATTTACTCCTCACACTCAGAGTGTAGCTGGAACTTAATCACTGGACAGATGAGTTAACTTATTATTGCCATCGTCTTTTTATTTTTCTTAAAAAAAATCTAGGTAGCTCCAAGTGTTTATTATTACCGAACTTCAAAGATGGATATGCTACAATTCTCGTCTGGTTATAGCCTACTGGAATACTTCTTCCTGCTTATTATCATGCTTGCCGAATAGGTTTTCTCTTAAAAAAGATAGTCTTCAGATTCTTCATTGAACCTGCTGACTTTCTAACAATGTTGTTTAATATTACATATGCATAGTCTTCTTCATTACGTAATCTAACTGCACACCTAATCATTTGTGTTTCTTCTTTGTCCCTAACAAAGAATATTCTTAGGTTTAAAAATTTCAATTTGTGACAAATAATAGTGACAGTATAAAAAGTGTTGATTTTTCGGTTTGTCTCGTCATCTTCAGTAGCTGATCCAATTATCATTTAGTCAGATTATTGAATCAATTTTAAAACAAGATTAATTTGTAATATAGGAGAACTTATGATGTATAGAGGCAGTTCTCAAGACTAAAGATTCCTGAGATTTGTCGAAAAATTGTTGACTTCACGGCACAACAAGTAAATGTGAAACAATTTTCGAAAATCCTAGGTGTTTACTAATTTGATTTTTTTATGTGTTGTTAAATAAGCTGAACGGGATGATTCGGGTATGAAGAAGTATTGCTTAAAACGTTATTGTGGGAACTGACCAGTTAATTTGTAAGGTTGAGATTTTTTACTTTGATAGAAGTATTCCGAAGAACTACAACGTCAAAATGCGGTGTATAACGATTGTTTATGAACCAGTTTTGACTTTAATGGCTAGTCAAAAAATTGAAGTTGTTTTTAAAAAAGTTGAGACAACGTCTAGACCAATATTATTTTGATAAATTAAAGAATCCACAATGTTTTGGAAAGGGATTTGTGGTGGCGCAATGCCTTCAATAAGTAGGATACCTGTTAAGCATAATAATTTGTAGTTTGAAAATCTCATTTGAAGGAGCAAACATCTTACCTAAAGGCGAGCTTTGTAAATAACTCAATCGTTTATCAGCAGTTTTAATGAGTAAAGTTGCTTTTCTGTGCGTGAAGAACAGTCTATCTAGGTTGAGTTCATGTCATTTCAATAAGGGTATTTATGTACTGCGTAAACAACGTACTGAGATATTTGACTACATAAAAAGTGAAATGTCCATCAAAATGACGATCCAAGTTATGTTATATATTATAACGTGCTTTGTAAGATCATTTAGCGATCATTGTATAATTAGCAAGAAGTTCGGTGAGTTATTTAGTTCCATCTGGTTAGAATAGTCAAATAATATAGGGATTGTATATTAAAAATAGATCGATTTAGGTTGATGACCACGAAGAGTTGTTAAATATAGGCTAGATAAGATGCTTTGTCCCCTATTTTAAGTACGTATCCCATTAAAGCATTGACAAAAAAGCGTGCTTATGTTACTGATTCACATGTAAGCTATCGTTGGAAAACCCGAGGGACATTCTTTCTTAACTTTACGGGTCATGTGCGAAACAAATAAGATTTTTGTCAACCAGTAAATCGAGAATGTTTTATGAGTCGAGATGTATGGGAGTCTATACTACGTAAAACAATTAAGTAGTCTGAAATCTTAGTAGTCAAAAGTTTGAGATTCTGACCTTTGTGTGGATACAAATCCCATCAAGAACCAGTCTTAAGTGTTGAAACCTTTGTTTTTTATAAGTAACGAACCACCACTGAATGAACACTTTCCCTTTTTTTCATAGTGCTATAAGCGTTTAGATACCATAGCTTGGTGGGATAATCGAAATGTTCTTGTCCTGTTTTATACGTTCTATTTGTAAACTTGGTTCATGTTCTAATAAGATTACGATCCTTCTCAGAAAATGTTTAGTCTCAGGATTATATACCTATCGATTAATCACATTCAACCGCTGTAGTTTAATTCATTCTAGATAATTATTGTATATTAGGCTAAGCTTTTACACAGCATATCCGTTTCTTTAAAGGAACGAGCATGTCTGATTAGTACCACAAGCAACAACATACAATCATTTAAATTGAATGATAATCTCTAGAATAACGATCTATCCATTTTCTCCTAAAAACTGAAAACACCATTTGAAAATAAAAGATCACATGTTTTTATAAACAAACTTATTTTAAAAATAGCTACAACTTTTAAGATCTCATCCATAAAATTGAACTGTTGTATTCTATCATCATGTATGTTACAAGTCGTCTCTTTGTAATCTAAATTAAAAAAAGAATGAATAGTTCAGATAAATAGCATAAGCAAGAAACATTCAAACAAAAACGAAGCAAAACAGCCAGATTACATATCTTGGATTTCAGAATGTGATGTCATAGAAAATCATCGATCTGGATAGGCTTAGCCTAAACATCAGATCTACTTTGAATTGATATGTATTAAGTATGTTATGTCGTAGTTATGTATGTTAGTGTTGATTTTTTGCAACAAATAAATTGTATATTCTTGCGTGGTTGTGCATCGCCAAATGGAACTGGACTATTTTAAGGAAGTATGTTTTGCTAGGATTACAATAACTAGTGAAGCTAGGGTAGCATTGTTTCTTCATTTGACACTGGTAAACGTAACTGCTTGACTATGTCCAGTATATGTCCTTCTGCATAAAATAACCTAATGTGCATCATGTGCGGGTGGAACGCTACCTCTGCAAATAAGCCATCTAGCTCAGAGAATATAACACTCGAAAGTGAGTAGTTTGTTTATTGAATCTAGACAGAAAAAGCTGGTTATGAAAGAGCTATCTCACCCTACCCACTTGATAGCTAATTAAATAGTCAATATTGGACGTGTCGAGAACGAAAACCCTTAAATAGTGTAAATTGATAGACAGCACGATTATTGTTTAAAGTCAAGAACCTGTTGTTGTAAGCTCCAAACAAAACAATATTTTTTCAGTTCGCATTGTCGTAATTTCACTATCCAAACGGTCGACGTAAATAGTAGCCCACAGTGTTACCAACGACGTTTATTAATCGCAAAGAAATCACGATCTTGATAAACAGGCAGTGAACGACTTATAGGGCTTATAACCCCAAATTCTGTGAAGCTGTGATTAAGGCGTTTGAATTTCAACTACTAAGTCGGAGGTCCGAACCCTGCTCTACCTACCTTCATTTGAGAAGCCAGGTAGTATCAGCAGCCCTTACACTTAGAGTGTGACTGAAAGCCAAGTACACGAATCTCCACTTGGTAAACGAGTTAAGTAGACCTACGATTTCATTTAAATTCGAGTCAACAATCTTATTAACTGAATCCAACACTCAAACTTATCTGATTTACACTAACAACTGAAATACAAAATGGTAATCATGTAAACGGTAACCGCTTAACATATGATCTGCATAAGATGTAAGCTTTATCCTTGCTGAAAGCTTAGCAGTTTGAAAACTGACCACATACGAGTTAACGTGATTAACTGGGTTGGTATATACGGGGGATCCACCTAGGGGAGTTGGAAAACCCTGATTCCAAATCAATCGTGCACATGGGCTCCAGGATCCTGAGGGAACAAATGGCATATAAACTTATTGTTGGTCACCGGATACCATGGGACTGAATATCTTGTTCTACTACCTTGTAGATTAGACCTCTAAATTAAAGGTTCGGGAAGTGACTCCCTAAGAAAACCACCTGCTTTGATTCGGGCGCCCTGTTAATATTCCAGCCCTCAAACAAACCGAATGACGAGGTGTGGCGCATATATATTTGGTGCCTCCTTGTACTAATATTTGTGTTTAAATAATAATAGTAAATCATTATAGACTGTATTTTTTACAACACCGTCTACTACTTAAACGAAAATCCAGCGTTTTGTATAAAAACAGATTATTGCAGCTTATAACTCGATAGAATGCAATCCAGTAACAAGAGATTTGTGTATTCAGAGTTAAGTTGGACATTTTGTTTTGAAAGGACTGGTAATAACAATATCAATGATCGGAGGTTTAAACCAAAGCTGGTTTGGGCAGGGATTCAAACTGATAAATAAATTTGTTGGGAAGCCAGTTAGTTAAACGACTATGCTACTATTCCTCATTTGTGGAAAACGACGCAACCTTATCACTATAACTTGTAATTATGAATCTAACAAAACGGGCATAATTAAACATAAAAATAGAAAACTAAAGACGACATATCAACTATTTCTCTTGGTTACAATGCGTACAATAAAGCATGGGTCGAACCTCCAAAAAACGCGCATGCACACACATATACATTTTCATGATGGACTTGGAAGCGATGAAGAGAATGCGGAAAAGATAAATAAAACACATCATTAATGCGACAGGTTAAAATAAATAATTTACGTCATTATAAAATGTCAAAATGGAGTAAATATATATATATAAAGTCATTTTATGTCTCTATGATGAGTTTTTTCCAGTAAAAAAATACTTAATCAATTACTAGATGATGATTAGTAGTAATAACTAGCCATTAGACAAAAAAGTAAGATGAAGACTGAGGGGGGAGGAGGCAATAACCCCGATAGAACATGAAAACAATATAAATCGAAGTGACAATATAATCATTTCTATGAATGAAAACATTTAAATGCAGACCGAAATCATGGTGAGGTATAATAACTCGTAAAGAAGCACATTGAGTAACAACGATTTGTTAGTTTAGTTTCTCACACCTCCCCCCAGAAAAAGTAGAATCGCTTTTCACATTTTAACACAGAAACAACAAATAGTGTCCAGTATTGAAGCTGTCAATTACTAATTAGTGCTCCGTATCAATGAAATCACATTCATGTAACATAAGAATGCAGTAAAGAATTTATGGTAAGAAATATGCATGGGTGATGATTGTGTTGGTGATGAAATGATAATCGGTTGATTTCTGTGAGCGAAAAAAACAAAACACATTAATAACAGTAGTTAAGAAATGGTGAGATTTAATGCCACCTCCTGGATGGGGAGAGAAAAATAGAGAAAAGAAATGTGAAGAAGAATACAACAAACACGAATATCAAACTAACAAGTAAAAAGCGAATATGGAAATAATATAGGACTCCTAAGTAATGTGCATTCTAGAACCCGGATCCAGGAATAGAAACCAAGACCAGCGGTTTCGCGTGCGAATGCTTAACCTCTAAACCAACGCACTAGCGTCCAATGGTGTACAGTTCTAACTTTAATTAATCTACGTTATTACGCAGTTCTTTCCGTCGAATGTGGTGGATGAATGTCTCACATCCGGTGTGATTGACCTCCACTGATCACGACTTCTAGCTATAAATCAATCGGTTACATCTTGAATCTAGTCACTAGTGGACAATTATTATTAGTATAGAGGGATTTATGAAGATTGTAGAAAGCCGATAAAAAGATGAAACGGCCGTTCAGTCCTTCCATATATTCAAAGGTTGTCTAGTTCATTATCAGTTCATGATCTAATCTATTAGAAATCTGAAACCCCCACGAAACTTATGCTAGTAAGGGCAAAATATAATCAAAGGAAAAACTGACTGGTAATACTGGATTACAACTTTTTATGAGATTTGTGTATACTAGAACTGTATTACTCATGAGTAATTAGTCTGTCTTACTGTAAACTTTTCCTCGGTACACTCATTCACCTATCAGACTAAATTGAGCTGGTGTTTATCTGTGATATGAGTTGACTAATGTAGCCAAGTTTACCAATTCAAATATGAGCTCCTTTTAAGCTAAGCTAATTACTATCCATTGCAGAACCTCTCTCTCTCTCTCTCTCTCTATATATATATATATATATATATATATATATATATATATATATATTCATATTCGAAGCTTGGGTTGACCCTTTTGATGTAGTGTTCTCTGAGCAAGATAGTTTTAATTTCTGAGCTATTTTTCCCATTATTGACAGCATCTCACGGGCCTACCTCATGTAGAAGTAAGGTTTTCAGTTATTTTACAGGTTTTATATCAGCTCGTCCTGATGGCAGTTTGTGATTGGCTGTTGTCTTCATTTATCCTTATATTCACGTCGACTGTCATCGTCAGTTAGCCTCTAACCTTGTGATTAATTGACCTCTCCCAATATAGACTCATAGATTGAGTCTACGTCAATGTATCTGTTGGTTGACAATAGGTCTGAAAACAATGCTTTTAGAAATTCTCTGGCATTCTTGGATTTTCCACAATGCAGAATTTCGACGTCCCTTAGACCCAGTTAATGTCCATGGCTGTCTGCACGTATTGATATCAGGTTAGCACAGCATACCTTCACATTACTAGTCAGCGTTCATCTATGGATAGATGAATAAAGCGCCCACTTCGTCAAATTTAATATTACTCGCAGTTGGTACAACATATTTTGTAGATGATATTTTGTTGATCATCATTTTCTTGTTGCATCTTTTAGTCTACACAGAATGGAATGAAGTGATTGAGTTGGTTTCTGAGCGTCTGATTTTAAACGGTTTTAGAATTCTTGTAATGGTTTGTTAAATATTTCTTCTATATGGGTAGAATGATCCGTTCAATAGTTTCCAGGGTTCGTTTTTGATGATATGTTTGTTCGCTAAACACCTTTTAATATTGCTGGGGCAGTCGTTCCTACGGAAGACACATTGAAAATGAGCTACTCCAACTTTTCGTGTCGCGCGAATACTGCAATGAACGTTGGCCTCTTTAAAGTGTCCGAATATAACTATTTTGTGTAGTGTTGGGTTGCTACTGTTGTAGTTTAATAACTCATTTGTGTGATTTGGTTTCCAAAGTTCTTGTGTTTATTCTGTTAATTAAAACGTCTAAGAATGGAAACTTTTGTGTTTCTTCTTCTCTTGTAAATTTTATGTCGTTGAAATTGTTATCAATCGATTTATGGGTAATTTCGACTTTCCCTCTCTTCAGGATAACGAATTTTTCATTAACAAAACGTATCGAAATCTTCGGTTTAATTATTAGTAGAGTTGCAGCTACGAGTCCTTGTATCACAGTCAATCAAAAAAGATCATCGAAATCAAGTGATGTAACACTTGGCGAGTAATTGAAAAGGTCACTTCTATATAACGTAGGCGCTGAAGTTGTTGCCCGGAATAACAATAAAAGCTTCACAACTAAACCATTTAACTTAGATAACAGAACATTAGCAAATATTAATATATAATATTTCAGAGAGCCGAAATAGTCGTCTCAATTTAGTCGGCTCCAGGTGTGTTATACGGCGAATTTCTCACTTATTTGTTTAAAGGTATCATCCAAATTAAAAAGAACTCCGGTAAAAAGGAAAGCCATAAATTAACTGATGATATGGTTTTACTTTTTTCGGCCAATTTCACTGATTTATAAGTTAAGTTTAGATTCTTTAAGGCTGATTACTGTATAAAAATCAATATCAACTTAGTACACTTTCGTCCTAATTATGAATTGATTATTAAGCAGATTCTAAAAGTCTTTAATATAAAAATGTAGCAGCACTTGCCTACTAAATGAACGAAAAAATGTCTGTAAATAGTGAATACATAAAACGAAGTGAACACTAAAAACGTAGAAAATAACCTTAATTATCAAAGCGGTGATCAAATGGTTAAAACTCGATTTCCAACTATTGAACAATAATAATGGGAAATCTGTACTTGATTAATGAATTATATAAGTACTTAAAAAAGCTTATAGTAATTCTGGTGCTGCAGTGCGTGTCCACAAACCCCATCCGGGAAAAGAACCGGGACGTTTGAGTTTTGTGCCGAGCGATTAACCTTTAGATGCTGAAGTAACTTTCATAAAAACTATAAGATTACGTAATGAGAATTGTTCAGATAATTGGACAGTAGTGCGTATATTCGAAAAAGTCGGGGAGTGAAGAAAAATTAATGAACAGAGAGTATGGAAAATAATAAATAAAATCTTTTATTAAGGCTAATTCGGCCAAGGAAAAGATAGAGGTGCTGCCAATTTTTTATGAATACTTTTTATGAAGACTTGGGTTGTTAGCTCGAATTCCTACAGTTTCTGCTATGTGTACAAGATGAGATCGAACCCCACAAAGTAAACGTGTAGGGATACGGTAAGTAACTTTACATGGCCTATTTCTATCTACTACATGACAGCTATCGATCAAGTGTGACAGAATAGAGCTCCATATGGTTATGACGACACCCTTTTCTAAGCACGAAGAGAGGTGTTGACTAACTCGCTTGCTTACTTGTCCGGTTATAAGTCCAATAAAGCTTTCTCTACAAGAGCTGCTATAATCGTAGATACACACACATGTGACAGAACCAGGTAACTTATTCTTTAGTTGAGGAATCACAACAGATCGGGTTGATAAAGTTCTATCTACTGCTCTATTCAGTTTATCAATAGCACATCAGCCATATCTCCGCTGAATTGCAGTTTCAGGAAAAGAAGATTCTTACAAACTGTTAATGTCTCTAGTTTCCTGTTTATTACATGCAAGTGTTTTTTCAAAAAACCTTGTGGATAACCCATTTTAATCGACATATTATGATTAAGCTCTAGTTCCTTGTTTACAGTGTTGTCTAAGAATATCTTCCTAGCTCTGTTTTCAAGACATTTAACTAGGTTTCTGTTATAATGAATGGGTATAAGGTTCGAAAAGTGTGTGTACTGGCTTGATGAAGAACAATTCCCATACACGTTTCTACCGATAAATCCACCTTCTTCTCTGTCCAAAAAAGTGTTGAGGAAATGTAGTTTATCATCAAGTTCCTTTTGGCACGTAAATTTGATTGCTGAATGTTCATTGTTAAGTAGCTATAAGACTTTTTTTCGATGTTCTAATCGACGATAATGAGTTTCAGCAATGTAGCAGCAATGAAATTTGAACTAACCGCTTTGCAATTTTATGGTGTGGCGAATTATCCATATCTAAAACTAGACGTAAAGGAAGTCCTGACTTGTGAACTTTGATTAAACCATAGAGTCATCGTGTGTTCTATCCAGTGTGTTTAAGTGAATCGTCAATATTTAAAGTAAGTATTTCTTTATTTTTTAATTCCTTAAACTAATTAGTCGGTTATTTTTCTCTTTTCATATTTACATCCTTGACGTCGCTGGGTTTTTGAAATGTAGTCGGATCATTCAAAATTCAGTTCATTTTTATCGATGCAATCAGTTTTGTTTATTATAACTAGTCCTCCTCCTTTGTTTGATTTCCTTAAGATCGGAGTGTTATCTGTTCTAAGCATATGTAAAGCACTTCGATGATGTTTGGTAAGTGGAGATTCCACGGTATATTTACTATTTTTGTAATGTCGACAGATGTCAACTAACGTGGTCTTAAACCTAGTAAGTTCATCAAGTGAGGTTTGGACCAAAGCTGTTGTTTATGAAAATAAATTTTCAAACTGCACATCGGTACCTAGTTGATTTATTTTATTCCCATAGTCACAGAATCCATGGCATAGCGATAAAGCGTCTAATTACACTATGTATCTAACGTAACATTGGAAAAATTATGAACGTACCGCTCCGGGTCAAGAGGGAACTTTCTTTCTGGTTTTTGATGTTCGAGTGATTTCATTAGTTCTGTCCCCAATTTCTCGGGACTAATTTTCGCAACAACTTTAATATAATCCATGAATTGTGATTTTATTACCGACGGTACGTTGTCGACAGTTCATTTCCTTTGCAAAAGATTTTCCAGACCGATTATGCGCATTTTTAATGAATATGGGTATTTTTAAGGTTTTAAAATATTAGAGATTCCGATTGTGAATATTAGAACAACACAGATATGTTGTTTTCAACTAAACCGTTAGCATGCTCCACTTTAATATTTATGCTTAAGTTTCTTTAAACTAATCAATGGAATTTGTGAGTTAGTGATCACAATACAGTAGAATACATAACTGCAATATGCTCACTGTCAACCAATTGTGGCAAAATAGAGATATGTATTGTCTCTTTCTGGTCCTTTCCAAACCAAGATGAGAGGTATTCACTTATTGATTGGTCAAGTTGTCTGGTAATACACTCAATATAACTATCTCTGCAGGAGAGGCTGAATTTGTAGGTGAACACTAAGATCAACTTAGGCAATTTATCCTTTTTTGGATAGATATCACCAGCTAACATGTCTAACTTTAATAAATTCGCGTCATTGCCATCCTCATACTCGATACAGTTCAAATCCCCTGATTACAACTTCTCACTAAACTCGTGGAATCACCTCTCTAAATTAATCACGAGTAAGCACATGATTACCATTAGTGTAGGAGGTTGGTACAAATATTCAGTTGATTTTGTAACTCTTTATGTACAGGCATCCTGATTCGTGATTTCCGGATAGAAAAAAAATAGCAAGCAGTAAAACTCAAAAGACCGCCAAGGCATTTTTTTTCACTTTTTGTGATGAGTTGGAAAGTTTGAATTCTGAGTAGCAACGACGAATACGATGGTATAGGATAAAATATTTCATTTTGGGTATATCAGAATATTTCGAAAAAATGTATGCGTAAAAACAAAACACCAGACAGTGATATGTTTGTTATGGATATTTGTCAAATTATTTCACATTTTGAACAAAATAAGATATTATGACATGGGAATATACATAAATTGCCAAAAAAGGGAGTATGTATTCAACTCTGATATGCAAATTGAAAAAGTAGAAAGATAGGAATTCTTGGATTGAAGAAACGATACTCATAGCTAATATATATATACCAGCTTAAATTACTATACCATATCCACACGACGACATGAAATTACTTAGATAAATAGTGGAGTCAAAATAATGTAGTAAAAATGATAATAAGAAAGGTTAAATGCTTAATATATGATTTTAATAGAGGAATAAAAAAGGTGTGTATGGAGGAATACTAGAACTCGAAGTGTATAAGAAGATAAACGGTGAATGCACTTTAGCCATTATGATCAATTCTGAGCCATTTCACCCAATGTTTACACAATCTTTGGTCACTGTGATCGTGCAAATATCAACCAGGTGATCTGTACTCAACAAAACGGCTTAATTCAACAGTCAATGACTTCATGGATTGATGCCACGTCTTCATTTAGCCACTACTAACTTTCTTCCAACTTTTACACCAGTTAATAACATGAGTCGAGTTATGAGATATGTATATATCACTGACTTTGGAGATAATTTACATCATGCAATGACTTTAATGGGTAACCACTGAAAATTAGAGAGGATTGGACAAGTGTCTTATTTTAGTTTAGAACTTTCTATTTTAACACTGTACACCTACAATCTACATACTACTTGGAAAGAAAAACTAGCCGTAAAAAAAATAATTTCAAACAAGTTGAACACCTTAAAACCGTTAGATACTTAATAGTAGTTATGTTTTAACTAATCTATTTGGTCCCGGTCAAATGGAAACGAAATAAGCTAATTTTCCTAACACAAATATTGTTTAACCCAGCTTCACAGTCTTAGACGTTGTCACTGAACTGTTTGAGTAGCAACTGACTTCTAGTATGATTGAAATACTTACAACTGATATACATGGGCATCTTTAAAAAAAATCCAAGTCTTACCTTGGCCCGACTTGTCGATCTTTATCGGTTAACGGAACATAAATCACACCCATTAAAGATTTTCTTTGAAATGAACCATCTTGCAAACGATCAATTTGAACTAATGCTTGATTTCCACCTTCTGGTCCTTCAGGACAAATTAAACGACCACCAATTTTCAATTGTTCTTTTAGCTAAATTAATAAATATAAAAATGATATTAAAAGATGAGGGAAGCACATCAGTCAGTGAGTTGAAGTCAACGTAGAGCAAGCTATAAATGTCTGCCAGGTCAGCTGGTCACTCCATATTAGCACGATCAAATGAATTTAAAAGGATGAGTAGCAATAATAGAGAGAAACATCAAGGATTTGAAATACTATTCAAGAAGGGATGAAAATGTATGTGTGAAGGAATATTGGAACTTAAGATCAAGAGGAAAATAAAGAGTTAATACCCCGTATAACTGTGAAAGATTGTGAGAAATGCCACTCAACGTCTCCAATCACTGATTGTTGTTATCGCATAGACCTCGAGTCATACATAATAATTATTTGGTTAAATGCATATTTTATAAACACTCAAAAATTCAGCCTCTGATGAATCATAGTTTAACAGATAGAGGTGATCATTGTAAGATTGTGCCAAACTGAAGGAAGTAGTCAATTAAGAGGATGATTTATTAATAAACTAATAACATTCAAGTTGATATAAATAAAAAGTGAACACACATCCAGAAACATAACTTTTTAATGTTCATGAATTTTAGGTTACAAAATATATCTCTGAACTTACTGCATTAGGAATAACTGGAGCCGCTGCACCTACGTGAATTGCATCATAAGGTGCATCTGGCACCCATCCTTCACGACCATCACAGTAACAAGTTTAAGTTGTTTTCCTAATTCAATTCCAGATAATCGAGCATTTTGGCTATGATTAAACCAATTTTCAACATTTGACAGAGAGAATTTAGTCAATTCATCAATATGTTCTATGCCTACAGCAACACCTGTAGGGCCTACCTTAATATCGAAATTAGAGAACATAAAACAAATGAATATTTTACGATAAATTTAATTTATAGAGTAAAGTTTCCTGAAAAAAATGATGGGACTATCCATAACTGCAATAATTCAACAATACTGAATTATTTAACACCCATAAAACTGTCAGTCTTTAGGTTATAATTATAATTGTTTATTATATTAACCAAACTTTGTAATATATATATAAAAACATTCATTTTATTATGTCTTACTAAGTTAGAAACAATTACCAAATAACAGAAACAATTATCACTAGTGGCAATGAATAATCGTTGGGTTATTTTGTATATTCCGAATAATACCGCTGACCCAGTAGTTATGATGGTTCGGCATTTGCTGTGAGACCTGACGATTCTGGGGTTCAACCCCTAGTAGGGTTGTGGATGGGCGCCGCTGAGGAGTCCCATATTAAGATAAAAACAGATACCCAGTATCCCTTGATTTTTAATAGTAAACTGAGATAGATTTGAGAATATAGCTTACAAATTAAAATATTCTACACCAAACCCTTTCAACTATATAGAATATCAGTTTGAATCGTCACAATATCCAAAGGCATATAGGAGTATATTAAAAGAAGCTGAAAGAATATAATAAGAAACAAACAAATAGAAAGTAATGACGATGGTTTATTAGAATTAGTACTATAACCATGAACTTATATTTGTACAGTTGTTTTTTTATAGCTATACTCTATTGATCTATTTGAAATGATGCCTATTGATAATGATATGAAGCAACTGCTTCGTAGTTGAATTAATTAAACCAGTGGGTTGAAAGTTCAAACTCACTAAGACTATTGAAGTTTGAACGGTATATTAATGTCATTAACCTTTCCACGAAAAATAGTACACGAGTATGTACGTTTTTACTGATACATAAAAGGAAAAAAATCGATATTTAAGAGTAATTATCGATTAGTCAGTGTTATAAGTCACCAAATAAAATTCCTTTCGTTTGTAACAAAAGTTGATAACATACTAAATTAGGCAGCTGGGATCAATTATGACCTACAAAATACCAATATCAGCTTTCTGAGATAGTGATTTGAAAGAACTATCCCGATGTTTATTCTAATTAGATGAAATTTTATACCAAAGCACTTAAGTTTAACTAAGGGATTTACCATGTTGTCGAACAAAAAAGTAACTACCTCATGGTTACAATCAGTAGTTGGTATCGTAATAACTGTAGCTGCTATCTTGACATGATGGTCAAGTCTTACTGTCTTGATGACTCAATAGAGCTATGTTGGTTGGGACACTTGCTCTTTTAGGTTCACACGTTATACCATTTAGTTGATTGCGAAGAGCCAGATAGTATAACTACTCATAATAAATACAGCTTAAAGTCTAATACACAAAAATGAACTTGGTAGACTAGTGAAATTATATGGAATGAGAGTAAGGGAAGCATACATATTGTATATGCATAAACATGATATTCACTTTATAAGTGAAGGATATAACGATGACATGGTATGACAATAATATCTCAATAAAGCGAGATAAACTTACCATAAGAGCCATACACGCCGTTAAATATCCACTACCTGATCCAACATCTAAAGCATGTGCACCAGGTTTAAGATGATCTCTTAATGCTTCCAGAGCATAAGCATGCTACACATTTTAAAAAAGAAATTAAATAGAAAGTAAAGCTTTCGAACAACTTCAGGTTTTCAATAGTAGTTTAATAATGATCGATTCATGATCTTAATCAAAACTCAGAGATAGTACATTGTCAGTTCGATGGTAAATAAATAACAACCTGAAGCAGCACTCATGAGTACACATATCATAAGGTTGTGAGAAATAGGGACTGAACAAACAAATGGTACTACCTAATTGAACAAACGTTATTAGATGAAGCAGGACCCAACCTTCTAAACAACTAGTTGCGATGTTAGTAATAAAAATCAATAAGTGAATGTTCTGTGGTGAAATATACAAACGACATGACCGTTACGTAACAGACTATTTATTCAACGTCAACACACATTCATTGGCCAATGTACGTAACATCTGAATTAACCTAACACAATACCACTCTATGATGGTGAAAAATGCTAAACGAAATAGGTAGTTATTTTTATTTGACGCCTCATTCGTAATGCTTAGAAATAAATACCATGGTGCACAGAACTGAAAATAACTCACTAATAAGGTTACTAGAGAAATTTTACTCTCAAAAACTAAAAAACCTAGTGCTATTATGCTGATCGATGCAGTTAAATCAGCACCAACAAACACAAACTAACGATGGTATTTATTTGACGGTCGATTAATCTTAACAATGTCATTATTGTGTAAACTGTAAACCGACCGATTATAAGTATATATGTAGAGGTTAATTTATAATATCTCGTTAACCGAGTATTTAACACAGGCTAAATCTCCTAGTAGAATTATGAATTTACTCGGAATTATTCAAAAGCACGAACACAAGTTGTAGAGATAGTATAATGTTAGTGATTAGTGAAACTTCACAAGTACACAGATATCCAGCACACAGGGAAACGAGTGAATGTTCAAAATCCATGTATATTTGTGAATGTTAATTGGTTGTGGATAAATTATTGATTGACTGTGTGTTACAACCAATGAGAGAATAGATAAAATTGGTGTGTAGACGCGCTCAATCAAACTCACACAAAATTTTACCCCATTTGGGCTATATGAGTTTATTCGCATGCCTTTTGGACTAAGAAATGCCGTACAAAGTTTCCAGCGTTTTACTGATCAAGTGCTACGTGACTTACCGTTTGTATACGCTCACATAGACGACTTACTTATCAACAGCAAAGATTAAAGTGGACATTTAACTAATCTAAAAATGTTTTTCGAGAAGCTAAACGAGTATGGATTAGCAGTCAATCCTGACAAGTGTGAGTTTGGAGAGCAACCCCCTCACCATTTTAGGTCATGTACTCGATAATCAAGGTATCAAACCAGTTCCTGAGGGAACACAAGTCTTCAAAAATTACCTTTTACCCAATTCACTCAGAAAACTAAGACGTTCTCTTCAGACGATCAACTTTTACCGACCTTTTATTCCGAAATGTGCTGACATAACGAAACCACTAACTGATTTGTTAAAGGGGCGCGCTAAATCATTATTTATGGCACCGCAAGCATTTGGACAGTTAAAAAACGCCTTAAGCAGCGAAGCATTGTTTGCACGAAGAAAGTTCGATGCACCTTCAGAAGTAATGACTGACGCCTCTGATGTGGCAATAGGTGCTGTACTTCAGCGACATGTCAACCAACAACTGCAACACCTTGCATTTATCTCTAAAAGCTAAACGCAACACAAACAAAATATAACACGTTCGGTAGAGAACTGTTGGCTGTCTATTTAGCCATCAAACACTTCCGGTATGTTAGAATGCAATTCTTTTGCAATATTTACTAGGCGCAAACCTCCAAATAAATCCTTGATACACAATCATGACAAATATAATCCGCGCGAAATTCGCCAACTAGGATTCATTTCGCAATTTACAGCTGACATACGCCATATAAAAGGCAAGGAAAACGATGCAGCAGATACATTATCGAGAGTAAATATTAATATCTTTTCAATCCCTGGTATAAGCTATCAAGATATGGCAAAACATCAAAAGCTCAACATGGAGCTATAAAAACTTTTGCAGTCTATGGAGCAAAACCAGTGTTTTTAGAGCACACCAAAAAACAGAGAATGATAAAATCGTCTAAATCCGCAGCAGAGCAAGCACCACACAAATTAACTGAAATAAACAATACTTTACACCGAAGTCCAGCAGCAACAGAAACTACAACATCAGGAAGAACAGTACACCGGCCAGATAGGTACGTAGCAACACATACAAGCTGTCATTTCAACTTAACGCTTACTTACTACATTTTGTTGTACAATTATCTTAAAGATAGTTTTTTATCTCTGTGTCGAATATAGATGTTACTAAAAGTTTTATTTTAAAAAACATCAGTGTTCTGGATGGGAGTTTATGTAGTAAGCCCATTCAGCTATTGTATTATTTGTCTGCTCAGTGTGATTCAGACATTCAATCCACTGCGTAAAATTTTGTGTGAGTTTGATTGAGCGCGTCTACACACCAATTTTATCTATTCTCTCATTGTTTGTAACACACAATCAATCAATAATTTATCCACAACCAATTAACATTCACAAATATACATGGATTTTGAACATTCACTCGTTTCCCTGTGTGCTGGATATCTGTGTACTTGTGAAGTTTCACTAATCACTAACATTATACTATCTCTACAACTTGTGTTCGTGCTTTTGAATAATTCCGAGTAAATTCATAATTCTACTAGGAGATTTGGCCTGTGTTAAATACTCGGTTAACGAGATATTATTTATTGGAGTCAGGTATTAAGGAAATTAACCTTTATAAGTACACTTTGCAGTATAACCAATGATCGATGCGTATGAGTTCGAAAATGATAACATCTGAGAATGAAGATATTTTGAAATAGATCAGTGCAATACTTAGTGGAAAGTAAGGAGTAATGATACTTTTTTGATTGACAGATAATTCAATAGTCTTTCATTTCACATATGACTAATCAGGCTGACTTCAGAGACTTGCAAATTCGCAAAAATGAACGGCTAAAAAATATCTAAACTTCATTTTAAGATCCCAACCCTTCAACTTCTAATGGAATGTAACTTATTAACCAGGTAATTCCAATATTATTTTTATGCTGCATTTCTCGTGATACTATTTTGTGAATGGAGGATTTGAACTCACCACTTACTGGTTAGAAGACAAGTTCTTCAACCAACAAGCCTCTTTCAACTAAAAGACATTCATTTTAAAAATGAGGTAGTTGTGGACATTAACTACGCGGATGGTTATTGGTCTTGCTTGTTAGTGTACTATAACTCATTTTGAGGGTTAAGTTTTCCTAAGACGAGGATTTAGTGGCTGTCTGAATTACACGAAAATCAAAGGGTGAAACAAAGATATACTAATCTGATGAAATAATTTTCGGAAGATCCAATCTGAAATATTCAAACTAGCCAAAACTTCTGACACTTCAATAGTATAAAAACCATTAACGCAAGAATGAGAAGTAACACGTTCAGGTGATGAATAATTTTGGCGAAAAATACAATATTATGTGTAACGCTAAAACCACCAGATTTTTCATGACAAGATTTCAGACATATATTTGGGTTAACAGATATCAACGAACTGCCTTAGCACATGTAAGGTCGTTTTGGCTCTGTAAACCAAATCAAAAACTAAGAGTAAACTTCTGGATTAATGAGAACCCATCAGCAATATATAGGTCTACAGGGAATAAATGCTATCGTATTTTTCGTAGCCATCTTAGTCAGATTATATTACAATGCGACAAAATGTATGTAAAAAATGTGCTCAAACTGATTAACGTAAACCAGTTTGCCAAAACAATTCATAATTTTAAGGTTCAAACATCTTCCACGATAGCAATCTTAAGGAACCCTAGAGATGCTTCGGAAAAGTCTGTATTCAAAATGCTTGAAGGTATTCCATATTACTTAATTCTAAAACAGTTAATACCATGAGATACTTCCATGGTGTACATGGAAGTTTAACTGTATCGATTCACCGCAAATAAGTCGCTAATCATTGCTTGAAATTTCAATAGATTCTATTCCTAATAAATTATTGTAGAAAAAACCAAACGGTCTTAGACTGATTATCCAAGACAGTGGCGAGACTACAATTTGTGGACGAACTAATCAGACTTAAGACACCAAGTCTTGCTTGTTAGCGCGAGATTCACACCTTCAAATGGCTAAATAGCATTTTGAAGTTATGGCTGATGTTAGTTCATAATGAGAACACCAACTCTAATTCCGAACCATAAGTCCTCGCACTAACCTATAACTTTCTTTCAACTCTAGTAAGCAGGTGAATATTTTTAGGTCCATTTTAACTGCGCTCGAAGGTCGTCCATACATTAAAGTTTCACCAAACATCCTTATCACAACCGTTCAATTCGAATAAGTGAAAACAGTATGTGAGATCATTCACTCCCTAGTGGTTTACGAAGAACAAGGATTTCTATAGAATTACTCAGTCGGTTTTGTGAGTTGTTAAGTTTATAATATGACAAATTCTAACGACTATGGACTGGCTAAGCAAATTCATACTGACAATTACACCAGTAATGGTCTTAGAAATAAAGACGTTCATTTACCTGAGAAACCCTATTTGAAAGTAGAGGACTATTGATTTATCTCTTACCAGACAGATCGATAGGGTTTAAACAAGAAAAGAATGCATCACCGACTAACTATTAAACTCATAATAATTCGACAGTCGCATCCTACTCAAAATCCAACTAGCTCTACTGCATAATCACACTGTGTAGAATAGGCTGTTTTTGTTAGATTTTGGGATTATAATCGTATTGTATAACTTGAACCATCATCCTTACCATATGAGGAGCACTGATTGTCGCGGCATAGCCTATAGAGGATGGTCGGTCTTCGTAAGAATTCGATCTGGCGAAGTACCCACGATCCACGGAAAGCATAGTATTCTTGACAATCTCAGATGAAATTACTCGATTTCCTGTTTGAAAGGTTAAGGGGAAAGTCTAATTACTGAATAGATTGTTTATAAGTTCTGTATGTGTGCTACCGCTCGACTTCCAAGCCATGGATGAGTTGGTAATAAGTAGAAGATTTAAAACGATTAGAGTGTATCTAAAAACGTTGACTGTATTCATATCTTATTAGATAAATGTTTAGTAACCACAATTAAGCAACCATCAGCAGGGATTTGATATTTTCACTGACCTTCATAATTAGTCATAATCAGCATCGAGAAACAACGTCATTCCTATAACATTAATTTCAAGACAACTAAAGTAAATACGTAAATTTACGTAAAATACCTTGTTCATTTTTATATATTTATTTGTAACTGCAGAGGTAACAATTTTGGAAAGTGATGTCATTGAGTCAAATACCCACTATCTTGGCAACGGATTTTATAATATTTGATCTCGTTTTACAATGTTAACATATGATTCAAGGTCTTTGGTATCATTCAGTATGGGTCGTTTTACTGTTCAGCTACACTATTCTTAGTATATTTGAGAGTTGATTCCAGGTTAATATTTCTTGGGTATAAACGAGTCCGTTTGTTCTAGGGCAGTCGGTATGCTGGGATCGGCAGTTATCACATTACTGAGAAGGATATGGGCTTGTTGCAATCTGGATGGTTACGAAGCTATAATTTGGGGGCGCGGAGATAAGATGACAGTTAAGATTATTGAACGAATACTTTATTCAACAAATGTGAACAAACAAAAGTTTTACATAACATGTAAACGGAAGCAACAGTATGTGGTAGTAATGCGAAGAATGACACGCGCTATACGTAGTTCCTGTACGGGAAAGGCTACAAGACACAGGTTGGTATAGAGTTATTGAGCCTCTCCATAAAGCTGTCAGTTGAAAGGGATGTCGTCAAGTCGGCTTGGAGAGCATTTCAAACAGGGATGACTCATAATAAATCAAAGTGTGGTCGTGCTTGGGTTTTGGGTCATTGGTATAAAATTTGCCTTTGGTTGCCTCAAGAAGTGCAACGGTAATCTTTAATTGGGTGACTGAATGCCCAGTTTGTTGCATACGACACGTTGCGGCGAGACTACAATTTAAGGACGAACCAATCAGATTTGAGATCTCGGATTTTAGCGCGAAATTCATCCACACATTTGGCTAAATACCATTTCGGCATTATAGCTGATGTTATTTCAGAATGAAAACCCTAAATCTAGTTCCTAAGCCTAACCATCAATTGCACATCATAATCCTAATTCCTCACATTACTTCATAACCCTTACTTAGTCCTTGTTGGTTGGTGGGCACGCTCAAGGTCACTTTGGCTTCGCTCAAGGGTCATCCATAAATTATAATCTCACCTTCCTTAGTCCTATTATTTGAAGCAAAACAAATACCAGACAAAATGTAACTTTTTGAACCATTTTCCTAATTATTATGATTTAGATTTTCATTGTAAAGTTGGTCAGTGACCTAATTATTGCATCTCTATGCTATCTTCACTGTAAGCTTCCAGAGGATTTGTTGGCTGACGTTGCGCTTACCTCTATTTCCTAATTGTTACCAACCGATAACGTAATGTTTGCTTCACTGTATGCTTCTTGTCTCATTGTTGTGTTTAAAGCACGGTTTTTTATTTGGTATGCTATTTGGCCTGATACAACGTGTATATAAATTAATAGATGTTTGATATGGTTGTTGGCTGTGTTTGTTAGTTAGGCTGGGTGAGTGAAATGTACATATAGCAGCTGTATGATGACTTCTCTTTGAACTTAAGGAAGGGAAGAGAGAAAAGTAGGCAGATAGTGGATCATTAGAAGTGTAGCCCGTGTTGGCCGATGGTTAACTGTACAATGTGAAACGTATACTTAGATAAAGCCATGTCGTTAGACCATATACACGACAGTAGAAGCCATTTAGAAAAAAAATCACAAGAACAAGAATCTCTAAAGAGACTCAGAACTAGAGAAGATATTGTACTAGTTCAAGCGAACAAAGGATGCACTGCAGTGTTCATGGACAAGGAACATTATATCAAGAGAGCCGAGGAACTACTTTAACCAAGCTCGTCACAGTAGGATACATATCAGAGCAATATCAATGGGGAATGAAATTCACTGGACAGGCACTTCCACGATTCTATGGTAGGCCGAATATACACCAACCAAACATTCCACTACGTCCAGTTTTAGAACTCTCCGGAACCCCAACATACAATCCGTCAAGAAAAATTTTAACGGATATTGAAAGATTTAATAGATTAACCCAATCACTTCATAAAATCGTTTATACAATTCCTGGACCAGATAAAGGATACTCAAATCAACAACGATGAACTGATGATATCATTCGAGGTAATAACCTTGTTCACCTCGATCGAACCACGCTTAGCAAAAGAAACTCTGCCCTTGCTTCTCAACAACGACACAAATCTCGCAAAGTACACGGAGCTTCAAAGTCAGCATTTACTAGAACTCATAGATTTGTGCCTAACAACATATTTTCAGTTCAACAGCAAATCTGAGAACAAATGAAGGGAACGCTGATGGTTTCACCAATACCAGTATTTACCTCTGAAACAGTTATGCAGATACTGGAAGCCTCGATCCTATCAGCGATCAAGACAAAAATTGGGATTAGTTATGTGAACAACACATTCATCATCGTCAAAAAGGACTAGCTGGAAGACACCTATAATCTGATCTGAAACGTCCTCGATAGCATAAAGTTCGTAATGAAACAGGAATCAGACAACAAACTACCAGTCTTGGATGTATTAATCACCAGAGCCGACGCAAGAAAACCGGAGACTCAAGTATATCTGAAGAGGACCAACGCAAATGAAATTCTCAATTACAGTAGCAACAATCTAAGAGCTCAAAAAATTAACTGAGTACAGACCCTATTCAAAAGGGTGAGAACACACTGAAACACTTGATGACCATCTTTCAAAAGAACGGCTACCCAATCAACTTCATAAAATAATACCAACTAAATGCATCATCGGAAACAAAGTCAAGTACAGAAGCCAACAAATGGATCATCTTACCATATATAAAAAACATATCAGAAACTACAAGATTGCTGAACCCTTTCTGGATAGGTGTAGCACACAAACTAACAAAATCACTGCAAACCAAAGCATGAAATGACAAAAGAAAAGCTGAAAATCACCTACAAAACAAATTGTTCGAACTGCGAAAAACACTACATCAAACATAGCGGATGCCCTCATAATCTTCGCATGCATGAACATTAACTAGTGGTCAAACGCCACGACATGTCCTCACTTATATCAATGGATGTGGAAAACTATGGACACACATTCGACTGAAAAAAATTGTTGAGATCTCGGATAGATGCTATTCTAAAAAACACAAGAGAATCTTTGGAAGCTTGACACTCAGGTCAATTAGCACCCAACAAACACATTAAAATCGATCCACTTTATCATCCAATCAGAAAAATTATGGGCAAACATAGGACCGAAAATCAGACCAATGGTAGATGCAAACAAAATAAAGAAGTAACTAATGATAGGTTTAGTGTCAACAATAACCAATAAACATCGTGGTCAACAGGACAAGATGCTAAGCATATGTGGAGTAATTCGAACACTTCACTTCTACCTAAAGTTTTTGCTGATGATTTCGTTCAGAATATCGATGAATGTTCCGCGACCAAACCATTCAGCACAGAGACCAAATCTTCATCAATAAAAGGAGTAGAGTGGGCTTTGGCTTCGTCTCCTTGGTAGCTGTCTCTGATGCCCAGGCTGTCTGTTAGCAACAGATCTAGATCGTCCCCTTAAGATGGGGGTCCGAAATCTGCTATTGATTCCGACATGCTGCATGTTAATCCCCGTCCGAAAACTTGAACGAGAACTCAGGAGTAGACGATAAATTGTATTGGACTAATACATGAATAATATGAACAAATACTCATTTATGTGCCTACATCTCTACCCCTAAGAAAATAAATCCATTTCTTAGCCAAAGATGTGCACTGTCCTTCAGGTCACACTTCATTGCTGTCAGTTGATCTACCCACTTGACCACTTCTGACTGACCCATCATATCACGCCTTCTGAGATTCTGGAGTGGGGGTAATTGTAACAGCTTAGGTTGGTTGGTAAAGAGTTGACCCCAAACAACCAAGCATATGCCAAAACAGTATTGTTCAAGTATTCATTCACTTCCTTATTTTTTATAAGCGTTATATTCCCTATTATCTTATATTGAATGTTGAGAGCCTTTGTTTGTCTGAACAGATAATCCCACGCTCCACTGTGACTGCGCGAAGATCGAAATAAAGACCTATTCACTACTTGTCTGGTTTCTTCTATCAATAGCACGAGGGTTACTTAAGGCACGAAAGTGGTGAGCCCTTTTTGAACACAAATTTAACCTCATTTCTGTTATTAACATTTTTTTTACTTAATCGTAAAAGTAGACCTGATTATCCGTAAACTAATTTGAGTATATAACTAGTTTATTCCGTATTATCTTAAGTTATTCGTGTTATAGTAACCATTTTTCGTGCTAACTTTATTGCTATATTTGTCACATACCTCATGTCAGACTCAATAGAAACCCATAATCTGGAGGATTTGTCACCAGTGGAGATAGACACTGTTATGACTACGAAATCCCGACTTCCAGAATTTGATCGTAGTGATCCTGAGTTGTGGTTTGCTCAACTAGAGCATTATTTCACGAGACACAATATCAAATCTGAAGGGATTCGCTATAGAGACTTGTGTTCTATCCTTCCTCCTTCAGTCGCCAAAGAAGTCCGTGACTTGATTTTAGATCCACCATCACCACAACCATACACCATCTTAAGACGAGAGATAATGAACCGTTTATCATTATCAGATAGTCAAAGAATCCAAAGACTTTTTCAAGGTGAAACACTAGGTGATCGGTCGCCGTCACAGTTTTTACGTCACCTCCAAGTCTTAGTGGGTGATAACACAGTGGGTGAAGCAGTCCTAAAACAAGGATGGATACAAGCTCTCCCATGCTACGTCCAACACTGTTTGGATGCACAAGATCCTGAAACCTCATTATCTCATTTAGCGCGTATAGCC